CACCACCATTAATGTCGCACCCGGCAATCCCACCAACTCAGATGTATCGGCCACCACCATCTACGTCATTCTTGTCACCACCGCCATCTCCGAAACCAGGAACGTGGTCATCACCGTGGATATGGTACATTCCTCCGCCTTCCTCTAATGACTACTTTCCGCCTCCGGATCAAGGACGACAGTCTTCGGGACAAAAGGCCCCATATGATTATCCTTATCCATACTATTATTTCTATGCCTCAAAGGCAACTTCTATGTCTTTTTATGGTTTCTATTTGCATGTCTTTTTCTCGTATGTGCTTTATTTATGTTGTTATTAAGATATTTTTGTGTATTGATGATCAACGGCAAAAGTGATTACTATATAGTAATTGGTTTCATTAATTGAAATCTTATAGCGTTCGACTAAGTTAAAGAATTTTGTAAAATTCGTTTGCTTTATGTGTGTGTGTGTGTATATATATATATATATATATATAATTCAACCCTATTGTGCTCATCATTCTAAAATGGCAGTTATGTCAGCTATTTTATCTGTATCAAGAGACAAATATATATATATATATGTATATGAGGCCGTATATATGTATATTGTATAAGAAGTTTATATGACTGTTGGCAATTACTAATTAATAATTAAAAGATGTGTTAAAATTGCTTTGTGTGAAGTTAAAAATTGAAATGTTGAGATTTATTTAGTGCATAAAAATTTATACAAGCGTTTATATATAAAAATATAATATACATGCAGCAGTTAAATTAAAACCAATGATTAATTATTAGAAGATAGAAGAAAAACATGGAACAGATTTTAAACAATGTGTTTTGTTTAAATTTAAACAGAGTTATATATATATATATATATAGATAAACATATAAAGTTAAAATTTCATATATGCCCAGATCAGAATCCAAAAAAAAAAGCTGCGTAATAAGTTTAGATTGCAAGCACAAAGACAAAATAATTCCCCAATACACGTCCAGGAACAAATCTTTATTTTGAAGCAAACAAAGGAGGCTGAAGATAATATAGTTTGATTCTCTTTTTCAATCTTCTATGCATAAACACATCCTCTAGATATACATGACTAACGTACATATATATTTATAACACAATATATAGTTTTCCCCCTTCTATTATACCACCTTCACAGCCATTCCCATCTGTCTCTTCAGCAGCATGTGCACAGTTTTGGGATCTTGCATGAGGTTCCGAACTATTCAACTTCAGCCTCTGAATTCTATTCATTCAAAACAGTCAGAAAAGGATTGTAAAAATTATGCTTCAAAATTTTTAGAGGTGGGAAATTCATTTCCTATAAAGTAAACCATGAGGTGAGATGAAAATAAAATATATTTTAACATACATATATATGTGTGTGTGTGCGTGTAAGGCCTTAGGTTTAAGGTATTACTAAACAATTTGTTCTATAAAATTCAAAGTTAGGAACTTAATACATATTGTATCACGTCTTTTGATAGCATTAGTAACTATCTGAGTACAAGTATCACCAGCACAATAACCTTTTAATTCTAAAAACTCAAAGTTATTAATAGTGTCTTACTTAAATCTTTATATGGAGGTTATCAAGTAATTATCATGTGTTTTTCTAATGTGAGATGGAAGTATGACTATATATACACATATATATGTGCATAAGCAGTGGAAATTAGTATAAACAGAAGGGAGTAAAAATGCAATTAGATATACCTGGGTTGCATTAGATATCCTAAGATGTGATGAAGCGGATCCAGGAGAGCGTGGCACAGAACTGCGAGCACTATAACTAGTAGGTTGTCTGTAGCCGCTTGGATAATCGTTAGGACTGATATAATTTTGATCATGATGATTATTTGCAGTACTTCCAAGGTCTCTTAATCGATTAAGCTCAGGCAATATAACTTTGGCAAGGTCAGGTCTGTCTTTCTTCCTTAACTCCGCACATTTTAGAGACAACTTAGCAAAAGATAAAACTTCTTCAACCGGCCAATCTTTAACTGCTGGATCAAGCACCTCAGCAAAGTTACCTTTATCAATGGCTCTCATCACATGATGAGTCAGACCCATTGGAGATTTAGCTGTTATAATCTGGAGTAGCATTATACCCAATGAATATATATCAGATTTAGTGGTTAACATTCCTGTTTGTTGATATTCAGGGTCAATATAGCAGAAAGTTCCAGCAGCTGAAGTCATGTGATATTGTGTAACACTATCAGCTACTGATTGAGGAACCAACCGAGCAAGTCCAACATCACTGATTTTGCTCACGAAGTTCCTGTCGAGTAATATGTTTGCAGGTTTAAGATCTCGGTGGACTAAAGGCTCAGGCTTTGCTTGGTGAAGAAACAAAAGCGCAGTGGCAATTTCTGCAGCTACTTTGAATCGTTTCCGCCATGAAAGTGGTGGTGTGTTACCTCTTCTGAACAGTCTGTCTTCTAAGCTACCGTTGTTCATGTATTCATATACCAAACATCCATATTCAGGACATGCACCCAGAAGAAGAACCATGTTTGGATGCCTGATGCAACTCAAAACTTCAACCTGTAAAAAAGTTGCTAAATTTTATATGAGTCTGATTAGAAAAGAAATGGGTTTTTGTTTTGTTAATAAATTAAATTAATTTACACAAATTACTACTGAATCAAATAGTTGGTAAGTCTTTTCCTCTGTGAAAAATCACAGTTCAAGTTTCTCATCGTATCCTTATAATGATTAGTAGATATGCGTCATCTAATTGATAAAATGTAGGAGTTGTCTACTCAAATTTTTGAAAAAGTTTACCTCTTGTTGGAATTGTTTTTTCCCTTGTGCAGCGTCAGGTCTTAAAACCTTAATGGCGACAGGAGTATGAGCAAGTTTAGCTTTGTAAACAGGTCCATATCCACCTTCACCAATTTTATTTGAGGCAGCGAACATTTCGGTTGCTTCTTCAATCTCTTCTATTGTGTATTTTCTATATCGAACTTCATTTTGAGCTAAAGCTGTCAAAGCACGTTTCTTTTCTTCTGCTTCTCGTCTTGCTTTCATCTCTGCTTGTCTTCTTCTCTGCGCCTCCATCTCTGCCAGCCTTTGAGCTGCTTCGGCTGCTTCAATGGCAGCTTTGCATTTAGCCTTCTCAATCTCCACTATAGCAAGGGCCGCCTCTTCCGCAAGTCTTGCTTCTTCAAACTTTCTCGCCTCCTCGAGTTTCCATTGATGCAGCTCATTTGCCTGACATATATTTTTAAAACACACATAATAATCTTTTTTTTTTCTTTCTTTATAAAAAAATTAATTATATCTAATTATGTATTTGAACACTATTTAACTGAATGTTTAGTAAGTTTCTTCATTTATAAGAGGCCGTATGTTCTAGTCGAATTGTGTTCTCTTGTGTATACTTTCTTCCTGAGGTGCATGTGTATATCTGTTCTATAAAAAATACATCTATATATGTACATGTATGTGATATGTGTGTATTTATACCTGTCTTTTAGCCGAAAGAGCTTCTTTGCAAGCCGTGCTATACATGTCCATGGTTTGCTTAAGTTCAAGTTTTAACATTCTCATTTCATCGTCTCGCTGAAATTGAGAATGTCGTTATTTTCTTTGATAAATGCATATCATAGACGATATATATATATATATATATATATATATATATATATATATATTATATCCCATGTAAGTAGATCAGTGTGACTTACAGTATTAGACTGGGGGGCTGAAGACCCATTTGGAGAGCCTACTGGCATTGAAAAATCTACACTACTAGAAGAAATATCCATGGATCCCATTGCAGAAAACTGCTCAGTATTATCATCAGAGAAAGAATCCCTACTAGTAGAAGTCCTCTGAGACATTCTCATAGGAATATCAATGGTTTCCATTGAAGCATTACTTGCAGAATTCCTATGTCTTTCTCTTCCACCTTCTCTAAAAGGACTATCAAGAGAGAGTCTGTCAAACCCAGAAATTCTTATAGGCTGTTGTTGCACTCCTCTAATCCCATCATCTTGTACTGATTGATCACCATTAGAGATCATAAGCTGCTGAGATAAAATATCTGGAAGTGGAACTTTTGGCGGAGCAGGAAGATTTGCAGCTGGTCTTTGAGCTGTTCTTACAGATAAAACTTTTCCTTTGGAAATTACGTAGACAGAACAGAAATCTGGAGCTGATTTGATTAAGGTTGTGGGAACATCAGGAGCTTTGAGTTTGAGAGATCTGGCAAAGACATTTTTTGTAGATGCACCAACGACAATGCTGTTTATTACGTTTTTGTTTATGTAGCTTGAAAGTGCTTTTGGAACATCTATGTCTTCAAGCACTACCTCCTTCAATTGAACCTGCAAATCAATTATCAGTTTCTCTCTCTCGCTTCCTCCCTCCCTCTACATCTATATATATATATATGAATATATGTATATATATATGTGAGCAAATGCAGGAAAGAAAAATCTAAAAAAATATTAGTTAAAATATATAATTAAAAACTAATTAAGTGGTACTTAATATATAATATTATTAAGAAATAATAAAATTATATAGACATGATTAAATGCATGCAATATCATACCCCTTTACGAGCGCAGTATCCACGGTATGGAACGAAAAGCTGATGTGTATCTTCCTGATCATTATTATTGTTAATGGTTCCGAGAGTGGCCTCTGCATTAATCTCAAGAACAAGAACAAATAAGAAGAAACGGAAAAACATACCTACACACGTGTATATATATATATATACGTATATGCATACACACATATATATATATAATGAATGAAGGACAAGATAGGAATGGTGTAGGTAGATATAATTATATATGAATATATGAAAGCGGATACCTACGATTTTTTTGCTTAACGTGGATGAGGATGATAACAGGATTGCTAAGAACAAGATGGTCAATAGCCCAGCGCACAGCGTACTGGCTGTTCTTATCGTTGTCAATGGCCACTGCCGTGGTGTTCATGGATGGATTGCTGTCATCTAATGGGAGGTGAGGAGCCATGGATTCTGATTAATTGTATATTAAATTATGATGGTATTCTGATTCGATTGATCTTTGTTAGCTGGGTATTGAATTATATATGCACATACATATAAAAGTTATATTTGAATATGAGCACCACCTCCAGAAGAAGAAGAAGAAGCCACCACGACCTCTGCGGCCAAGAAAGGTAGAATTCAATAAAGGGGGGAGGACTGATGGGAGAGAAACAAGTTAAGGGTAAGTTTTCTGATTCTCTTCATCTTCACGTCAAGGTGGAAACCAGACTCCATGTTTCTCCCAACTGAAAAAACGGCAGCCCTCTTAATTTCTGCCTCTCCTTTCCTTTTTTTAGACAATTTGACCAGGTCTTTTCTTCTATATCTACTTAGTTATCTATAAATAAATCATATAGTACCACCTTTACATATTGTTTTTTTTTTTTTTTTTTTCATATTTGTCAACCGCCTTCCGTATAAGTTTTAAAGAAGTACGGTTTGTATACTTCTAACAAAAATGAATATTGAGACCTCAAAATTTTAGAATTCTGCAACCATTTTACAATATTGACCATTCCATTTGATTAACACCCACATTTTCATTTTAGTCACTAGAAAATAGAATGACAAAACCTTGAAAATACACCTTCAAAAATATGAACATTTACCGAGTAACATAATAATTTTACAGTTTAAACGTTTATGTGTTATTTAAAGATTACAAATTTGAAATTTATTGAGACACTGCTATTATAAATGTATCATAATTTGATCGTGGTCAGTTTATAATGTTTAATTCAATAAAATTATTGATTTAAATTATTATTATATTGGTAAAACTATTGTAACCTTCTTATAATAAATATACATCTATTACATTTCTAAATAAAAACATATTATGCGAAGTTTAAATTTTTTTAATTTGAGTAGTCACAGTAGATCTAAAATTTTAATTTAATATTTTTTTTATTAAAAAATATAAATAATTGGATCAGTTACGAGGGATCATTTGCCACTCCATCATGAACTTACATGACCATTAAATTCACCTCTTAAAAGCCTCATCTTTTGAGCAAATCTTTTTTTGGGTGTTGATAAGTCTTAACTCACTTAATATTATATATTCGATTGACGATGTCATTTATTATCTCTCATTTTGAAGAAATAAAGCACGAATGCTTTTAATTCAAGATATTAATTATTTATAATTTTTTATCGTTATTTTTGTAGTGTTTTTTTACTCTTTATAATTAAGATCTTAGCTCTATATGTTATTGATATGGATTGGTCCATCTTAGATGACTTAAACTTAGTGCTTCATTGTTTCTTGAATTTCCAACTTCCTTCAACCAACTGATGACATGAGTTATTAGTTTTAGCATCATCCATTTATTGAGGAAAGATTTATCTATTACGATAAAGATTCATAGATGACTTGATTTTGAAAGCCAAGGAGAAGGAGAAGGAGAAGATAACATTTTGAAGTTTTTCGCACATTAGGTATGGTTAGGCTAAATAATCAAGTTCTGTATTTTTAAATGTTCTTGTGTATTTACCATGGTTTTGTTTTATTAGTTATGTTTGTTATTTATGGTTTAAAGTTTGAAGTATTTGAGTAGATGAGTCCAAACATAAGTAGAAGTTTACTCGAACGAACACATGCTAGTGACGGTTCTGTGCGTGTTCTGCATGCACGCTTGTATTTCATGTGCACCACTTCAGGCGCACTGTGCGTGCCTATACAGAAGATCTCAATGTACAGGAGATGCATTGGTACTGCGTCTATGCAGAACTTGCACACAAGCACTCGATATACGCAAATTGCGTGCATCGTTACTCCTAACTTTAGCAACACTTTAAAGTGTTGTAACATCGGCTAATGGCATTAACCTTTTCCACCATGCTTCCAACTTTTTCTTGAGTTTTCTTCAATTTCTTTGGCACTTTTTGGTGCTGCAAAATACTCTAAAGTGGACTTCAACATTGACTTGATCTCTAAATTTTTTGTTTATTTTGATTTTTATGAATTATTTGGATTCTCTAACAGCTCTCAACAAATTGAATGAGGTAAAGATAACCAAAGTTTGTTCCAGAAATTCCGAAAAGCTGCTTGAGTTCAAAATTTTGTAAAAAATATCAATAATTTAAACAAGGCAAATGAATTGAACATGAAGTTGCTCAAAGCCAAATCTCGAACAAAGTAAATGTCTATCTCTAATAATCCAGTTTTACATAAAAAATTATGTTTGTTGAAAGATAAATTGCTTTAGCAGTGTTAGACCACAAAGTCATTATAGAAGTTAACAAAATTCCATGTTTCTATAGTAGGGATTATAACCAGATAACTTCACGAGCCGTATTAGCAGTTGTCTTTTATATTCACTCTTAGCAGGTCATCTGCTATAACATTGAATTGCAAAGAATGAGAATTATAACTTAATTGGAAAATATATACTCATATTTAGAGGACCAAGGAATAAGCTTCCATTATTAATTTCATTAAATTACTCTCAAGAAAAGACTGGCTCGTATTAAATTTACATTGTATAACCATTTAATGAAATGAAAATACATTACTAATCGCATCAAATTATTGTCAGATAATATCGAATATGCCTCAAATGCAATTACTGCCTTTTAGCAAGGGGGAAAAAGTCTAGTTATGTCATTGCAAATATGTAGAAGGATTGAAGGAAACTAGGCATAAAGGCACAAAATAATCATCGCCGCACCCGCAAGAAACAAGATCTATTTTCCCAACGAACGAGCAGATAATAGCAATGAACCTCTAAGCATAAAAGTACAACAAAAGGTAGAATCTTGAGAGTGCTCATTGAATTACGTAGAATACAGAGATACATCTCCAGATCTACTTATCCTGAAGTCATATATATTTATTTATTTATTTATACCACTCCCTGAATTGTTACTATTTTGGAATGTAAATTTCTGGAAAGCAAACAAATATGTTTGTCTGTACCAGCATTTGGCATCGGATATGGAAGGCTGATCAATGACGACTTAGTATTTCCTGTATGCTAGTTCCTTCGCAGCCTCAGCTAAATGTTCCTCCTGCTGAATGCTGGAAACCCACCTTGCATTAATGTGGACCCGCTCAATGCTCTGCTTCAAGGTTCTGGCAATTGAAGGTTTTGCTCTACTTGAGAAGAAGTCCTCTACTTCCTTAGCTTTCTCAGATGAAGCAAACTGCAAGAGTAATGGAGGAATATACATCATTTCACAGGTACTGAACTAAAGGCAAAAATAAATCTAGGAAATGAAAAAGGTGCCCAAAAAGACAGGTACAAACCGGTGAGACAATTGCACTGACAAATCGAGTTATTAAAAACCCAGAACCCCATGTTTTTGAAATATACTCCCAGTTGTCCTGTGCTCCAACCATTAAAAAGGAGGATTAGTTAAGCAGACTAAATAACAAACAAATATTAATGACTACTTTAGTCTCATAAAGTTTGGATTATGTTAAAAACTAGTTCTAATCCTTTCTATTACAACTTGGTCTCAAAATTAATGTATTACACCCAACAGAGGCAAAAATTAGTCCCTTCCGTTTTAATTCAATTGCACAATTTAGTCCTTTCCATTGTAACCTCTGGCACTGTGCAGTTTTGCTTGGAGTATGGGTGATTCAACTAGGGAGAAATGTCAGAATCTTCAAAGAGCAAGCTTCCCCAGTTATTTGGAAGAAGTCATTTTTCTTGACCTACATTCAGGCACTCATGCCATTTTAGAGACTTATCTTGTCTTCTTCGAATGGAGATTGGTTAAGTATTCTTTTCCAATAATAGGTGGCATTTCTTCTTTGTTTTTTTTTTTTTAATCCGAAGTGAGGATACCTACTTCTCCTTTTCTTTTTTCAATTCTAACTCTTCCCTGGACACAATATTTCTTCTCTATATAAACAAATAGTAATAATAGAGTCCCACAAAAGCTAGAAATGATTGGTCTTTGAAAAATTTCCTCAGGACAAGGCTGTTAAAAAAAAAAAAAAAGAGACTAATCTGTAACAAGAACGATAATAGCCTGATGAAAATGATAATTGGCTCAATGAGAAAGTAAGACAAACATAGTATCATAATGGTATATAGACCACCGTATTCTATTAACAAAAGAGTAGATATCATTCTATTCTCAAATGAAAATGATAAATCTCAATGGCCAAATTTCAATAGTACAAAATATCATTCTCTTTATTGCAGATCATTTGCTAATAAGCACTGAGAACATGTAAAATTCCAGAAAACAGTTTTAAAGAAGCATTAAAATGAAAAAAAGTTGGGACAGCCTATCCTTGGATAATGTTATTCCCATGAAGAGGTTCATCACAAACATTATTGGACCCATCTAGCTTTGTCTTGAACCAATTATTCTTACCAATTCAACAAACTAACTTGTTCCCTGCAGATTGTACTAAAAATTTTCCTATTTTGGTTTCCAAACATTGTCAGTGCAGAAAACCATCACTAAGCTTGCCTCAAAGTCCAATTATTTGGTAAAAACTGGTCCCACTTAAAGATTAAAGATAAAAGAGGATCCAATCACCTTTTACAATGTTGGAACAAATTAACTAGCAGAATATAAGCTCGTTTACAAATTCAGATTTTTATTTCTAAAATATTCCACAAAATGGAATTACTTTCAAAATAAATTCTATATAGACACAAGTTTAGCTCCAATCTTGTAGTATTTGAAGGAATTTAGAAGTGAACTAAAGATTTTGGTTGCTTAAAATAGTTTTTACACTCTTACTTAAGTTCACTCCAACCTAGTAATTCGGTTGAATTACAAAAATATATATCTCTAGAAGTTCATAATTTCCCAATAAAAACTTTGTTTAAGATAGATGAACATAGAATTTTCATAAAGTTTGCTTTTACGAAAAGATCTTGAGCAATACGAACACATGGTAATTCTTCTTGCTTTTCTTTAGAGTCTGCTAATATATTTCTTAGTTCTTCGTCTGCTCAACAAATAAGCTCATGAACAGAAGTGGCACTAAACCCCTAAGGAACCCCTACCTCATTTATGGGAAAGTAGGTGCCATTTGTGTGTTTAATCATTTCTGGCTTATGTTTTGTCTCCTAACTAGAAGTCAAATCATATTAAAGGAGCCCCCTAATTGCTTTATGAACTAATCAATATGCCAACTAAATCTAATGCATGTCCACAAACTTTGGCACTTCCTTCCAGTAACTTCAAATGAAAATAAGATGAATATTACCTTCAGCCATGTCCAAGCTGTTTCACGACCTTCCACACTAACAGCAAGCCCGAAAACAGCATCTTGGCTACGGACCTGGTTGAAACAGGAAAGGAACTCGGTATCATGGAAGATCAAAAGCTGTAATTAACACATGCCTCAGAAGATAACAGACTATAGTTAAGCTTAAAGTACCTCAGGCGACAACACAAAGTTAAGAACTTCAAGAACTAAACTGGGGTCACAACATGATGATAATGAACCTGCAAGCGTCACAAGAAAAAAAAGAGTAATAACTGACACAGCAGTGGAATGCAAAATGTATTCCATGATTTCTATAAATGTCAGATGATTTCTGTACTTAAAATTCGTGTTTTCTCCTGGCTCAGATCAGTCTCTCTATAAACTCTCAGAAGAGATTCATAACCCCATTTGTTTGACTGGTTAACTCTTTTCATTACAGCAACATAAGATGCCTGAAATGATAGTCCACAGTAAATAGGAGATAATTAAGAGAAGAATGCTTGAAGACAGCATATAATTCACAAGCAACAACCTTTCTTATATCCGGAGATAGAAGAGGTGTTTTCCTGTCTTCTAAGAATGCCTGAAATCGCCTGTTTGCTTCACTTAGTGTCTCATCATGGCCAAAATTAGCAAGGGCAGTCAAAATTTCTCCTCTCAACATACAGTCCAGATGACTCTCCCCTGGTTTAGGTTCCCAACCAAGTTTCCTGCATGGATAATCAAATATGAAACATCTTCATAATTTTTTGAAAGAGAGAGAAATAAAAGACTAATACAACTTGAAAAACAGGTATGACATCAGCATACTTATTCATAGCAGTCATATAACCTCTTTAAGGATATGAACATTTTCAATTTTTAATCCAATAAAGAAAGATATAAGATAAAATCCTGTTATGTTATGGATCCCCAAAATTCTACTTTATGTACATTTTATCTCTCCTTCAAAAAGCAATGTGAACAAATAACTACAAATATCACACTACATTTTTCCTTTTTCAAATGAATGAGATAAGACTATCAAATAAATAGAGCACGCATCAAAACTGAGGTAGGTAATAGTTAATATATTGGCAACTCACTCAGCAGCATACTGAAATAGGCCAATAAAAAATTGTTTAATGTCATCCACTATTTCAGGTTGTGCGTCCACCGCAATCCTCACGACTTTGTAACTTATCTGTAAGAAGCATGAATAAGAATCAGAGCTAAATTATAAGTTCCAACTTAAATAACGCTGCCGAGAACTCAATTAGAACTATAAGGTAGAAAAAAATTACAGTTATCAGGTTAGAAAGCACAGTATAGTCAAGCTCCTCCCTGTAAGCACCCATCAAGGTGAGCAAAGACGTCAAAGATTGCTGGCCAGCCATACAAAGTGCAAAGGAATCGTCCAAGATACCTGTTAAATGAAATATGTAACGTTATCTCTTATTCTTAACATCCAAGAGATTAGAAAAAACAAGATAATTTATATTACCAAATCTGTCTGTTGGAGATAAGTATTTGTTTTCTATTGCATATCTAAGTCTAGCAGCAAGATACTCGTCATATTTCACCCGATAGAAACCAGACTGATCCATGTTAAGCTTTATCCAAGAACATGCCGCATTTTTTCCATGGTCATCAACTGAGCACCCAAGAAGCTCTTCTATGTCAACTGTTGCTGACTTGGATTGCAATAGAAAATTCTTATGAACATCATATGAGCCACAACAAAATGTTATTGGAACTATCCATTGTCCATCACCAAGGCAACCACTTGATAAAAATTGTGACTGCAATTCATTACATTAAGCTCATCAGAAGATTGCAGCTTCAATGAAAGTCACTAGAATTTAGCAGCAGTTTATCCATATAAATGAAAGGACTAATTATCATTTGTCCCACAACTATGGTCATTGTTACAACATAGCCATTTTAGCAATAATCATGTCCTTGAACTATAAAAAAATTTTCAAATGAGTCCCGCTTCAGAAATTTTTAGATTTAATTGTAATAAAAAAATTATTAAAATTTGTCTGCATTGAACTTATTTATCAATTTTAGGACTGAATTGTATTGAAAGAATCTGACTCTGAGATGTAACAATGACTATATTACAAGACTAAGGCAGTAAGTAGCCTTAAGTTAAATATGTTACTTCCAATTTAGGGAAAGAAAAATGTGAAAGAAATCAAACAAAATTAGACCTGTTCAAGTTCCAATTTCTGATCTTTTACTTTGACAGAGACAACAGGATACCCTTTTTGTTTTGTCCATGAACTCATTAGCCTGTTCACAGGTTCACCAGATCCCTCTTCAAGGGCAGCCCAAAGATCTTCTGTCTTCGCATTGGAGCAAGCATATCTTTTGATATATGAAGCAAGTGACCGCTGTCCATGGAAATAACCCATGCAATAAACAAAAATTTATCTTTAGTGTGCCAGTAGTCAATAAAGAATGTTTCAGAAGTTCCTAACTGCAGGGAATATAATCAGTAACAAACAGTTTCATTCATCAATAAATTAGTCCTTTCATTCATCGATATTACTACCAGATTTCACAACTGTCAAATAATTGAGTTGGATGACCTTATGCTAAAAAGTTAAGTTGACAGGAAGAAGCTCAACTTTGATATTTATGCTTTAGCACATCTCCAATCCTTCACACATGCAAGTGAAATGACAAGTGAAAACAAACACAAACCCAAACAAAAACAAGGCAGATATAGACTTATGGGCATTGCAGAAAGGCCCAATTTATAGACTTTTTTATTGGTGCAGCAGATCACTATATTAATACAACTTGTGGTGATCAGTCTCAAGCTGAAATTTTGAGTTTACTTTTTCACCAAACCTCTTAGTTTCTTGTGGCATTACCCATGCAATGCACACAGATTAAAGTAAAAGCAATAGCCATAGAAACAACACAAAGAATTTTAACATAGTTTCGCAATATGCCTCATGGAGCAACCTCCAAAGTTTTCCACTATGTCAAGATCCACTTCTTACAACTAAGATTTTTGCTACATACACAGAAGAAAACTCAGGGGGCTTCATTTCTCACACCCCTAGCAAACCCGCAATTAACTGCACCAAGATAAAACGACAATTCATCATCACTTGGGTGGAGTTGGTGCATTTTTTAATAGTAAATTCTCTGAATATAAGCTATAAGCCAACATAATTTATATTGATCCATTTTTCCACCACTGGTGTACCAGTGAAGAGAAGAAGGTTGCTCGTTCTTTCTTTCACTAGAAGGTGCAAGCAAAGGTTTCTAAAGTTAGAGAAGAGAGAGAGAGAGAGAGACCAAATGACTTGGGACCCACAGTACTAAGGTTCAACTATGATATCTAACAGAATTGTCTTTTGAAACTACGATAATCCCATCATGCTAAGTTGAGGAACAACCAAAGCCAAAAAAACCAAAAAAAACAAAAAACAAAAAACAGAGAAAAATGTCTAAAATTGGCAAGCTGCCTGCTATCAGCGCTCACATATTTGCATCCAGAAGGTTACATAGCCATGGCACACGCCCATAAAATTGCATAGCTATGGAAGAATGCACATTCTCTATGGGCTGACATACGTAGCATCTGACAAAGTCCTATCCTCCTATGTCAAGCACTAATCCTTGTGCAATCATCAGACCAGCATTGAAAATCAATGATAATTTCAGACAATCCACAATTCTTTGTTGATTGTCAATTAACATTAATAGGAGCAAGTCAATCATTGTCATGAAGGGAAAATCCATCCTTTCAACATTCTCCACAAGCCTAGATCTATGAACAATTTTCTCTGTGCAAAAGGGTAATTTACCCTATTAAGAACAACTGTTCAAACAAAAACCTTATCTTAAAGAAAAATTTAGTCTTCCAAAAAGATTCATTTTGGCAACTAGAATTATGAGCAAGATAAGGAAAAAGCAACTTCCAAGTGTATCGACAAATCAAAGGTGGTCTAACTTCTGCAACCGGGATGAGGGGAGACACTAAAAGGCTCAAGGAAATGAAGGAAAGAATGCAAAAATCTTTACTCAGAGTCATTTAAGTTCCTACCATGGTGAGCCGGCCCACCAGGGTTAACAGAGAGAAACGGATTACACATGACAACCGGGTGAAACCCAAATTTTTCTGGGCTGAAAAAGGTAAATGGGTCGACCAGGCTGGCCCAAGTAAACCCACTCCAAAATCTGCCAGCCCAAAGAAGAAAATGAAGAAGGTAAAATGGGAATGGAGAATAAAAAAACCCAGCCGAGCAAGCCAACAGAAAAGAAATAAAGGTCAGCTCAACTGTATTTTCTTCCTCAAGTCCTGACTTATAGAAACAAGAAAACAGAGACATGGCTGCTTATGTGTTCAACTCAAACATGTGATCTCAAACCCATAACCCAAGCAGCCTGGAAATAATTATTGAAAAACAGCTACTCCCTCTCAATGGAATGGAATTGATCGAGATTCAGATTCAGTCTCCTGGACCTCTTTCAGTAGTGGATAGAAACAACTTGACAGAAATATTCAACTCTCTCGAACGTGCTCTTCAGGGAAATATAAGTTGTGACTCTCAAATCTACTCCAAATGGATTCTCAATAATATTTTCGATGTCAGCAAGATACTTGGCACACCTTTTGGTGGTTTTGAAAATAGTATTCACTCAATTTTGGCTGAGTTAGTGGAGAATGAAGAAAAAAAGAAGAATGGACCCACTGCTGATTGAAGATGGCAACAAGAAACAGAAAGAATGGGTTTCAAGAGAACTAAAGAGGCTTCAATCTTCTATCAACTATGAAGGAAGAAACAGAAAAAATAAAGAGTGCGGAGGAAGCTCATTGTCTACTTGATGATTGATAAGATACTCTCTTGGTACGTAAGGAGTCTCAACGACATTTGGAGAAGAAGCATCATCAAATGTTGCATAAATAGATGGAAACCCCTCCATTGTTTGCTTGCAAGAGACAAAGATAAGTTCTTTAAATGAAAAGATCTTCAAAAACCTTTGGAGCATGAACAATATTGGCTGGTTAGCTCTTCCAGCCAAAGGGTCTGCGGATGGCATCTTAATTATGTGGAGAAAAGACCGTGTTAATTGCTTAAACAACATCCCTGGTGATGTCACTCTTTCTTGTCTTTTCTCTAGTTTATCTAACAGAGAATCTTGGTATTTTTCGGATATTTATTGCAAACGCAACAACAATGAATGTAATATGTTGAGAATGGAGCTTGAACAAATCCAACAAACATGGGGTAACAAAGGAATCATTGATGGTGATTTTAGTATGGTACTGAGACGATCGAAAGATCGGGGCACAATTGCTTGGATTAAAAAATTATGGAATTTCAATCTCTTTTTTCCGATCTTGATTTAATGGATCTACCTCTACATGGTGGTAAATGGACTTGGAGCAACCAACGAGAACAACCTTCATTTCCAAGGATTGACATATTTCTCATCTCTCCTTATTTTTTAGAAACTATGCCAAACATTATACAAAAAATCGTGGCTAGGACAATCTCCGACCATTTTCAAATTATCTTGGTCTTTGATGGTATACAATGGAGTCTTGTCCTCTTCCAACTTGATAACAAATGAATCAAGCTTGATAGTTTCAAGACCCTTGTTTCCAATACATGGAAGAGCTCTCATGTTAAGGGTATAGCCAATTATCAACTTGTCCACAAGTTCAAAAGATTGAAATCGAAAATCAAATATTGGGTCAAGTCACAGGCAAACAGGAAGAAGAGGGAACTAATAACATTATTGATGAAATTGCTTTACTTGATAAATTGGAAGCGGACAACTGCTTCTCCCCCAGCGACCGAGACAAGAGAAACTCTCTCAAAGTCAATTTAGCACAAAAACTTCAAATAAAGGCCACTTCTTGGAAACAAAAATCCCAGAAAAAATGGCTCAAAGACAGGGATTTGAACTCTAAATATTTTCATATGTTGGCCAATCACCAGACACGAGTTAATTTCATTGGAAAACTCAACATTGACGGCAACACTCTTAAAAGTAATGAAAAATTGAGATTGAGAGCTAGTAATTATTTCCATAAGCTTTACTCTGAAAACATTCACTCCCGACCAAAACCAGATGAGTTATCCTTTAACATAATCAATGCTGATGATAAATGCGACCTAGAAAGAGACTTCACTGAGGCAAAGATCCTTGAGTGTTTGCAGGATTGTGATGGGGATAAAGCCCCGAGGCCAAATTCTTACAGAGTTTTGGGGATATTGTTAGAGTGACATCTTGGATTTCTTCAAGGACTTCCATGAGTATGGCTCCTTTGTAAATCTCTCAACTCTACTTTTCTAGTTATGATTCTTGAGAAAGTCAATCCATCCAATATATCTAATTTCCAGCCTATCAATCTTATTAGCTGCATCTACAAACTTCTATCTGAAGTGTTGGCCAAGAGACTAACTTCTGTTCTTCACAAAATAATCGGCAATTCTCATAACGTCTTTGTTTTTGGTAGACAGATCACTGATGTTATTCTCATTGCAAATGAAACTGTTGACGAGATTATCAGGAACAATAAGCTTGGAGCCTTATGCAAATTAAATATGGAAAAGATATTTGATCATATCAATTGGGATCTCATTGATTACATGCGTCAAAAGGTGTGGGTTTGACAACAAATGGGGACGTTGAATCAGAACATGCATTTCTTCTGCCAGCTTTGCAGTCATTGTGAATGGTGATCCTTCAAAAATTTTCACTGTAGGTTTAAGACAAGGGGACCTCCTCTCTCCCTTGCTTTTTATTATACTTATGAAAGCCCTAAACAAATTACTCAAGAAAGCAAAGGATTCACAGCTCTTAAAAGGGATCACAATTGGTAGCAATAAGAACATGTGGAGATAATACATCTTTTCTTTGCAGACGACACATTAATCTTCAGCCAAACAGTTGTCCACTCCCTAATTTTTTTGAGATGCATTCCACTCTGTTTTCAGGCTATCTCCATACTCAAAATCAATCTTCACAAATCTAAATTGGTGGTTTCAAGAAACTCATATGGGACTTCTCTTGCGCAAGTTTTGGACTGCAGACTTTCAAATCTTCCCATCACCTATCTCAGGGTTCCTCTTGGAGCTAAACATAAAGACAGAAAATGTTGGGACCTAGTCATCGATATGTTCCAAAGTCGTCTTGCCAATTGGTAGAGAAAATTCTTCTCCAAATGAGGTAGGCTCATTCTCATCAAAAGCACTCTATCCATTATCCTTATTTATTACATGTCAACGCTTAAAATACCCATTAGTGTTGCTAACAAATTGGAAACGATCCAATTTAATTTTCTATGGAGCAAAAGGGACAACAACAACAAGAACATACATTTGGTTAATTGGAAGTAGATCAAAAAAACCTATTAAGGAAGGAGGTTTGGGTTTAAGATCAACTAATAAACTCAACAATGCCCTCCTCGGTAAATAGATATGGAGATTCTAGAATGAGGATAACTGCTTGTGGAAATCAGTCATCATGTGCAAATGGTTTAAGGGCAACTACCATGATTCATCCAAAATTAACAACAGCTGCTTTGGCACTTATCTATGGAAAAGTATATTGAATCTCAACAACACTATCCTGCATAATTCTAGCTGGATTCTCGGGAGGGGCTACAAAATCCATTTCTGGTCTGATATTTGGATTGGAAAGATGGCTCTTCAAGCTAGATTCCCTCGCATTTACAATATTGCTAAGGAAAAACACTTACTGGTCAGAGATGCCATTGACCAGAATTCTCAGGGGCTCTGGCAGGTTACAGTTCTTAGGAATCTACATGATTGGGAAATTGGTGATTATAAATCCCTACTGCAGTTATTGGCTAAAATTACGATTATAAATCAGGATGACAAATTACAATCTCCTAAATAAGGGAATTTTTTTCTGTCAAAACCTTTTACAATTTCCTGGCAGGTTACGCTAATCAATCCAAGAATGTGTTCCCATCCGCTCTTACATGGCAATCGGGCGTTACCCCAAGGATGTCTTTCTTTGCATGGGAAGCAGCAAAGGAACGAATCCTAACTATGGATAACTTAATGACGAGGGGGATCATCTCTGTTAATAGTTGCTATCTCTGTAAAAACAACCTTGAATCATGCTACCATCTCCTCTTTAGTTGTTCGGTCTCTCACATGCTTTGGTCCCACTGTTTTGGGTCTCATGGGTCTTTCTTGGGTTACAAGTGGTTCTGTCACTAAGGAAGGAAAACCCTCAGACTAATTCCTATCACTATCTTCTGGGTATTATCGAAAAAGAGAAACAATCAAGCATTTGAAGACAAAGAAGCTGACTTTAGTATTATCACTAACAGTTGGTTTCTTTTTTTTGGCTCCACTGTTTTGGGGAATAATATTGACTGTTTAGATGACTTTGGTTTTGTCATCGACAGTTTAATTGACTTGTAAATAATTTTGTAATAGATGGTGCCGCCTTGGCACCTTTACATCAATACATACACCACTTTTATTTTAGAAGGAAAAAAAAAAAATGTTCCTAAAGAAGAGGACATTCTACGAGGTGTCTGTCAAGTTGATGAATGAAGGGATAGATAGAAGGATTATGGTACGACAAAAGATTATCATGGTGTAGAAAAAGGCTAGCAAGGGAAAGATCACGATAAAAAATTCTATCAAAAAAATGCAGGAATTACCACCAGCCCTCGAGCTAGAGAATGACGAGATCAGGAAGCTGGGAGATTGCCTTTCAGAGGCTTGTGTGACTTGTGGTACTCCTAGCTTTCTAATTTGAACCACTCCTCACGGTATAAACTTTCCCAACCACCCTATGCTACAAAGAATAAGGTTCCAAAGGAGAAAGCCAAAATCATTTGCAAAAAGATTTCAGGTATTGAAGCTTTTTCATGTGAAGCCCTCCCAGCCTTCCACATCACATCTCTTCACTGCTTCACTTTTTGCACAAAACCCAGACATTACAGCTCTGCTTGTTCCACACCTTGAGATCTAAATTTTTTCTTTTGAAATAAGAGATCTAAAACAATTTTTATTCCAAATTTAAAAAAAAAAAAAATCTATTTCTAAATATTGTTTTTAAATCTTAACAACTACTATGAAAAACACTTTTCTATAACAAAACATGCCTAATTGTCTCTTATATTTTCTATCTTTGCAAGACTTTTCATAAGCTTACTAGTGCCAAAGCCTCAACCTTCTGAATTTATTACAAACAAACAACTTAAATGGAGATGGAAGAGGGAAAAACAAACACATAAAAGTAACAAAAGAAGAACCAACCTGAAAGCATTCAGCACCAAGATAGCTTTGTAGCATTCGAATAACAGAAGCACCTTTTCTATAACTTATTGCATCAAATATTTCATCAATCTCAGACGCATGATTTATCTCCACCTGGAAAAAAAAGTATACTTCTCATTAAGAATAGGAATAGTT